GTTGTAAGTTTGTTTTTATTAATTTGGTATTTCAATATTTGTTAGTTGTAAATCATTGTGTGGACCTTACAGAAGGTTCCAAGTTTAAAAGATTTTAATGTTACAAGTTATATTAAGAACCTTAAAAAAATGTTGCAAGTTGTTTATTTCAAGCTGTGAGTTTTCTTGATGACTCTGCTGTTGCAATTGGGACTTTTAATTAGCGGTGGTAATGTTGCGGTAATGGTGGCTTCTTATTTTTTTTACAAAGATTAAAATAATATATATTTTTACTTGAAATGATAAAGAAATTATTTTTTAAAATTAAGTTTTTTTTACATAGGATGATGAGGGAATATGCAGTGGAAAGTATTTTTCGGAGTCTGGCTTGGTTGGCCTTCTTGAGCACGCTGTTCACATGTTTAAAACTGCTCAAATGTTTGAGCTAGTAAATGAAGTTGACAAATTGCTCATTCCAATTTTAGAGGCACAAAGAGATACTAAAAAACTTCATATGCTTCATATGAGACTTGCTGATGGATATAATAAAATCATGCAAATTGTAAGATTATTTAAGTTAAAATGATATTTTAACATGTTAAAAAAATTTTTATGGTGGTAAAAGTTTTAAATGTTTTTTTAGGAAGGTAAAAGAATGCTTGGTACATATTTTAGAGTGGGTTTTTTTGGTTCTATATTCGGTGATATAGATACAGAAGAGTTTATATACAAAGAACCAGCAATTACTAAATTACCTGAAGTTTCTCATAGACTATTGGTAAGTTATTCTTGAAGGTTTTTTTACAAGCTTACTTCAAACAAAAAAATTATTATATATGTATATATGTATATATGTATATATATATATATATATATATATATATATATATATATATATATATATATATATATATATATATATATATATATATATATATATATATATATATATGTATATATATATATATATATATATATATATATATATATATATATATTTATATATTAATGTAGTAGAGGTGACAGAGATGTGAGAGAGTGCTGACTTGATAAACTCTGTGCTTGTTAGAAGTACAGAGTTTAAATGACATTCCTGGTAGGGTTTGAATTTTGTACACAATAAACTTGGGTCCATAAAGTTGAAAGAGGGTTGTTACAACAAACATACACAAAAAGCTTAGAATCAGTTAAGTTACAATAAACATACGCAAAAGCTTAGAATCAGTTAAGCACTTTTTAGGTAAATCCATAATTTATCAAAAATGACAAACACAAATAACATACACAAAGATAAGATTTATCTTAAGTTATATACATACACACGTATGTATATATTTTATTTGTATTTACATGTATGTGTAATTTTACTTGCTATTAGCAATAGATAATCTTGATTATCTCTTATATTATTTCTTTTAATATCTTGATTATCTCATCTTATATTGATAAAATACTTTTATATTGTTAAAAAAATTTTTGCACTTAAAAAAATGTATTGGTGTTAAATTATATAATTAAAATAATTGTTATTAATTATTATTTTGTTTTTTAATGATATCCTTTTGTTGCTCAATAAATTATATTTCTAAATACTAGCTGATAACTCTGCCTGTATATTTTCCTTTAGGAAATCAATATTAACAGCATAGTAGCATTGTTAAAATATGTTTATAATGTTATTTTGATAAGAAATAATTTGAACTTTTTTTGGTTTTAAGTTTTTGATTAGTATTGTACCATATTAACTCAACAAAACATCCAGAGTTTTTAAAATAAATTTATGCTTTATACTTTTATTTATACTTTGTCACTAATTTGACCTCGTACTTAGACTCACTATTTTCTTGATATTTTTAAGAATTTTTACAAAGAAAAATTTGGGGAAGAAAGAATTGAAATTTTAAAAGATTCAAATGTTGTTGACTCACGGAAACTTGATGATAGTAAGGTAAAGAGTTTATAGTTTGGTTACTGTTTTAAAATGGTTACCATTTTTCCATGCACTTAAATTGTTATCTTTCCTAAAATCCCTGCAGCTCCCTATTTCAGTATGACAAAATCATATATACACACACACAAATATAGATGTATTTATGTATATATATTTTGGTGATCTTCATTTATAAATTTAAATTTTTTTTCAAGGGATATATTCAAATTACATATGTTGAACCATACTTCCTTGAATATGAGTTAGAAGAAAGAGAAACTTACTTTGAACTGAATAATAATTTACGTAAGTTTTGAAAATTATTTCTATTTTAATTTATTGACACTTTTATCATGTCTGTGTGCATGTGATATGTAAATACATTTGTTTTATTTAAGATTAGCGTAGAAACAACAGAATAAGGTTTTTATATATTTCAATCAGTTTTGACTGTTGACCTTAATTTTCTAAAATATGTTGAGATCTCAGAAAAAAAAATTTGTTTTTAAATGTTGTTGATTTGAAAATCTAATGATTAAACTAAATTCATTAAGTTAAAAGTTATTTCAGATGTAATAAGTCAGATGTAATAAAAATGTAAAAACAAATATAATTAATAACTAAAAAATTTTGTATCCTTTTAGTTATTACTTTTATTTGCATGGTGGGTGATGGGGAAAGAGGGGTTAATAATCATTTTATATACATATAAATCATTAATAGTTATGCTATACTCTATACAATTACATATGTGGTATATTAAACATTTTGTATCTTAAACAGAAAATCATTTATATACAAATTATACATTATGATACATCTTGAAATAAAACATCCTTTTTTTTTATTCAAAAAATATTTAATTAAAACAGTATCATTAGATAGTCAAGGCAAATTTATCTCTGTTGTATTTGTTTATCTCCGTTAATTTATGTAGATAATGAGAGAAAGGTTGATAATAAGGTTTTTTTTAAAACTAAAACATGCTGTTACAAAACTATTAGGATAATATGATATTCTATAATTAAAAGATATTATGATATCCCAGCAAACATTTTTCTTAGTGATTTGCATTGAACCTATATAGGCATTTTGAGCAGTTCATTCGAGTTTTGATCATTGGTTACTTATTTAACCATCAGTGGCATCTGCTACAAATGACCAACTGAAAGTTTTGTAACATGATATAGTGGCTATTCATCAACTAGCCATGTTAGGCACCTGCCACTGATGGTCCACTAGAAAACCAATGGGCAAAACTACAATGGACTGCTCAAAATACATATATGCGTCCACTAAAACTCTGTTATAGAATATTTTCTGGGATAAGATATACTATAATCAGGGTTGTGAAGTCCTATCAATTTTCACAAACTCCAGAACTCCGGGGTCAAAAAATGTTGACTCCTATTTAGTAATTTTTTTGACTCGAATTGGGGTAAAAACAGGGACTCCTGGACTCTGACTTCTCATCCCTGGTTAAAATAGGAAATAAAATAGGCATTTTATAAATGAATGGAGTAGCATTAATGTGTATTCAAGAATTCTAGTCATATAATTCAAATTTCAGTCAAACAATAGTTTGTTTAAATAAAAAAATTTGTTTTGCTAATTGTTTTTTTTTTTGTTTTTTGGGAGGAGAGGGTTTGTAAACTTGTTTTTTTTATTTTTTATATCTTCTTTTTTAAATAAGGAAAAAAAAGAATTACATTTTTTCTTACAAAAAGTTAATAAAAAGAAAAAAATTTTTTTTTTTAAGTTTATATTAATAATTTATTTTCAAATTGCTTTTAAAACCTTAATTGCTTTTTAAAAGCAATTATTTTTCTTTTGAGACCTGGATTGGTTAATTGATTTTCATGCATTTTTAATCCTTAAACCCCTTAACTGGGACTAATCTGGCTAACTCAAGTTGACCCTAGTTTTTTTGTTAATCTACTTTAATGAACTACAAATTAATTTGCATAAGTTAAATATGTTGATAGATTACAATTAATTTGTAATAACTAAATTTATACAAATTAATATATATATATATTACATATTTTTTATCCTATATATTTATACACATTTTTTATAAATGATACATTAATATTAAAAAAATAATTTTTTAGGTAGATTTATGTTTGTCACTCCTTTCACTCCCAGTGGTAAAGCTCATGGCGATCTGGCTGACCAATATAAGCGTAAAACAATTTTAACTCTTGCAAATGCATTTCCATATATAAAAACAAGAATTAATGTTGTTCAACGGGAAGAGGTTGCCATACTTTTTTTTGCTTTTATTGTTTATTGTATAATTGTATACTTTTATGTTGTTTTTATTTCAGATTCCCTATCCTAGAAATTTTTAATTTCTTTTGTATATATCTTATTTGCTTTTATGTTGTTAAGTGTTGCTTTTTTTCAATTTTTTTTTTTTTTAAAGATTGTTTTAACACCCATTGAGGTGGCAATTGAAGATGTTGAATCAAAAACAAACGAGTTAAAAAAAGCCATGTCACACTCAAAACCTGATGTAAAAATGTTGCAAATGGTTTTGCAAGGTTCAGTTGGAACAACTGTTAATCAGGTTTTTTCTCTTTTTGTGTATAGAAAAATTTTATATTCTCTTTTTTTGTATAGAAAAATTTGTCTTGGAATCTTTTTTTGTATAGGAAAATTATGTAAATGCTCTGATAATTGTACAGGCCAGAGTACAATATAAGAAGTGAACCATAATTATACCTTAAAATGTTGGCTGCAACAGTCACTTATATAGATGTTTTTTTCACAGTCTAACTAAAGTTTGGTTTGATCAATGATTATCAATTTATTATTTTTTTGTTGATATAATATTACATAATGCTTGTATACAATAATATTACATAATGCTTGTATTTGTATAATATATTTATAATTAAGTAATAAAGTACATAATTATATAACATATAATTATTAAATAACTATATATATATATATATATATATATATATAGTCTTGCATGTCTCTTGCGTAGCATCAAAAAATATTTCCCATAAACTGTAGTTTTAAAGAGCGCGTTAATAAACCAGACCAGAAAAAGTTTTAAAAATTAAATTTTTTTTTTTAATTGATAGACTGCCTGGCCAAACCAAACCCTCAGTCGATGTAGCAGCACTCTCTTGCGAGTCAGGCTATTTGTCAGTCGTTGTAGCAGCACTCCCTTGCGAGTCAGGCTATTTGTCAGTCGATGTAGCAGCATTCCCTTGCGAGTCAGGCTATTTGTCAGTCGATGTAGCAGCACTCCGTTGCGAGTCAGGCTATTTGTCAGTCGATGTAGCAGCACTCCGTTGCGAGTCAGGCTATTTGTCAGTCAATGTAGCAATACTCCGTTGCGAGTCAGGCTATAAGATAGTCGATGTAGCAACATTTACGCATGTTTAAAAAATGTTTTTTATTAAATCAATAACAAAAACACCACTAATTAAAAAAAACTTTCTAGTCGTTATAATTGCGGTTTTTTAAAAATTTTTTAAAAAACAATTAAATTTAATGTACTTCCGCATAAATTAATTGCTTTGACATTTCGATGACAATCAAAAACAGCTTAAGAGACGAGGTAATTAAAATTGTAGTCGTAAGAGACTTTTTTTACATTAAAATGCTCTTAAAGCGACACTATATGAGTATATATATATATATATATATATATATATATATATATATATATATATATATATATATATATATATATATATAAATATATATATATATATATATATATATATATATATATATATATATATATATATATATATATATATATATATATATATATATGTGTGTGTGTGTGTGTGTGTGTGTGTGTGTGTGTGTGTGTGTTATTTAATTATGTACATATAACATGTATAAATATATTTCTTCATTATTATTACATTCATAAACGAAAATTATGGTTTTATTATTTTATTTTATTATCTGTAAACACTTTTAAAACTATTGTAATTGTTTGAAAACATGTTTATATACAGCAGTATATAAACAGTCATGTTTATATACTGCTCTTTGAATTTATATAAAAACCAAATTATATTAGCTCAAGACCTTTGATAATGTTTATCAAATATTGCAACGGTCAATATCAGCTGATATTTCTCTAAATCATAACATTAAATAATAACATTTAATGTTTAAGAATAAGGAACACTCTATATAATTAAAAACAATGTAAAATGTCCATAGTGGAAAAAATGGAATAGCACTTTGTAAGCAAAAAGTTAGAGTTCACGAGAATGGAGTTCAACCTTTCCACCCATCCAGTAGTACCACACTAAACATGTTCAGCATTTTTGTTTATCAAGATTTTTTTGTTATAGTTATGGGGCTGAGAAGAGTTTGTAACAATATTGAAATAAAATTTTAAAAAATTAGCTTTCTCTTTAATTTGTCACTATAACTGTAGTAGCACTCGTTACTTTAGAAGTGCTACTTGTTTCCATTTAATTGTTTTGTTCTTTGGAATTGATTTAGCAGACTGATGACATTTGAATAAATAAAAATATTATCAAAGTCTGTCTGACTTTGATAATATTTTTATTTATTTCAAAATAGTATATTCAATAATAAGTTTTATTTCTTTTATATTTATTTATTGAATTTTTTATTATTTTTATTTTTACTTCTACATTATAATTAGAACGCTTAACAATTTAGGGACCATTTGAAATTGCAAATGTTTTCTTGTCTGACTTTGATAAAGATCGCAATGGATCATCTACAATTACAAGGCATCATCATAAGTTGCGACTTTGTTTCAAGGAATTTGTTAAAAGGTTTTACATTTGTTTTTAATAAAAGTAATTTCATATTTAAGCCACCATCAACATTTTTCACTAGCAAAGGTAAAAGAGAAACAAAACTTTGATAAACATGTTTTAAGGTTGATAACAAAAACAAACTGGTTTTGAGTATTTTGAACATCTAATTGTTAATAGTTAATTTTGTATTAAACAGAATAAATAGTAACAGACAGGTGACTTTCCCATAAAAAAGAAAAGTTTCTTTTACAAAAAAAAATCTTTTAAAATTATAATTTTATATTTTTTTAAGAATATTGTGATCAGGAATTCTTGTATAAAAAAGCTTTGATATATATTTAAAAAAACCTGTTTTAACTTTTCAAAGTATTTTATAAATTTTGTTTTTCAGACATCTTTTTATAAGAGATCTCCACTTTATGTCAATGCTCTTATTGTATCCACTTTATGTCAATTCTCTCATTGTATCCACTTTATGTCAATTCTCTTATTGTATTCACTTGAATTCTAGTTATTTACTATTGAACTTAAATTAATAAATAAAAATGTAAAATTGTTTAGATGTGAACAAGCATTGATAAAGAATAAAGCACTAATTACACTTGAACAAAAGGCATACCAAAAAGAACTGGAAAAAAATTTCCAAACATTTGTAGAAAAACTGGAACCTTTGCTCAAAAGCAAGTTTGGGAATCTCAGAGGTTCAATTCGAAAGAGGTTTTTATAGCTTTTTTGTTTATATTTTTATATTGTTTGTTGGGTCGCTTTTAATATTATTATTGATATTGTACAAAATAATTTTAATACAATTTTAATCATGTATTTATATATATATATACATATATATATATATATATATATATATATATATATATATATATATATATATATATATATATATATATATATATATATATATATATATATATATATATATATATGTATATATATATATATATATATATATACACATATATATATATATATATATATATATATATATATATATATATATATATATATACACATATATATATATATATATATATATATATATATATATATATATATATATATATATATATATATATATATATATATATATATATATATATATATATATATATATATACTTATACATATATATGTATTTATATATATACATATTATATATTAATAAAAAAAAGTATAAATAAAAAAAAAAATAAGTTGTACAAATTGTATGTACACCTTTTTGACACAATGAAAACCAAAACCAAAAAAATACTTAAAGGTATTAACATGTTAGCATAAGAGTTATTTATGAAAACTGTGTACTTAATGAATAACTCCTTAATGTACTTGATGAATAACTCCTAAATGTACTTGATGAATAAATCCTAAATGTACTTGATGAATAACTCATAAATAATAAGGTTTTTCATGTTTTTGATGAATTTTTTTTTTCTTTTTAACAAAATCAGTTTAGAATGATCATGCAAAATTGATTAACTACTTATGATGTTGTCATGGTACTTTTGATGTTGTTATGCTACTTATGATGTTGTCATGGTACTTTCAATGTTGTTATGCTACTTATAATGTTGTCATGGTACTTGTGATTTTGTTATGCTACTTATGATGTTGTTAGAATCGATTAGCTTGCTCACAAGATAGTATAATATTATGTCTAACATATAAAATGTTAGTAATAAAATTTTGCTCTTTTTTACTAATTTGTAATCTACACCTTTAAAGGTTATTTGGTATTTTATTAGCCGATGATTTTTAACTATTTTGGTTGCTTGCACTGAAATTTTTAAATTAAATAGGTTTTGTTTGTATTTAGTAAAATCTTTTGTTTAAAATTCATAAAATAGCTGCATGTATTTGCTTTGTGTAGCCAAGTGGGCCAGAATTAGTTATATCATATATTTTCTTCAAAGATTTGGGTATTACCAGTTTGGTTTAATAAGGTATCACCATCAGTAAAAGTTGTAAAAGTGAAATATATGTGAATATGCGCTAACAAGATTTTTGTGCTGATTTTATAAGTGCTTCTTTTTTCACTTTATCGACAAAATCATATTTGTTGTTAAAGTTATTTGTAAAGCATCATCAACACAATAATAGCAACATTAACATTTTGCCTCCATTTTGCCACCATTCACAAACCACTGACAATAAGTTATACCGTGAATATTAAATTAGCTAGAATTGCCCCTATGTTTATTGAAGAGGTTTTTTGAAAATAAAACTTATCTTGTTTAGTAACTTCATGATTAATTTGAATGTTGTATTTTTAAATTTTTTTTATTATTTTATTATATATATTATTATATATATTATTATATTATTATATATATTATTAGTTGTTATTTATTAAACTTGTTATTTTTAGTCATGACTCATCTCATTTTAAAAACTTTACAATACAAAATGAAGGATTCAGTCAAGCTTGAGCTAAGTAACTAATATCTATGGATAACTACTTATGGAGAGGCCAACTGCCAAAATGAATTCCTGCTGATAATTCTTCGAAAAGAATATTAAAAATATACATCTCACTTAACACAAAGAAATCATCAGCCTTGTACTTTTGGTGGAAAAGTGACAATAGTTCAAAATGTAAATATGAGAATGAATAAAGTTGCAAAGAAATGCATGTTAATGAATTCCGATATGAAAAAAATATTATAGAGAACTTTGCTGTGACAAAATGTATATTAGAAATAAAAAACTTTTGTCTGATTGCATCATATAAATATTTATCACTCTATTGCATTTCAATATTATATATTCAATGTTATTAATTGTAAATATTTTTTAATTGAAAGTTTAATGTTATAATAACTCTTTTATAAAATTAACTACAGGTTGTTGTTTTTTTGTTGTTGCTTATTTTTGTTTCTTTTCTTTATTTGTAAAACAAACAAAAGAAAAATATACATATATATATAAAAAAAAGAATTCTTTACACAGTTTTAAAAGGTTTAAGTAAAGTTTATTAGACAATTTTTTGAAGAATATTTAAGAACATGAATACTGATGAAAACTTAAAAAGAAAAAATGAAGAAGATGGAGATGAAGAAGGATTTATTGGACCACCAGTTCCAATTTTAAAGAAAAAAAAGAGTATGTATCAAAGATCTTTTCAAAAATAAAGATTTTATAATTTAAATAGTAGTTGATAATACAAAATTTTAATTAAAAAATATTTTTTTGATTTGTTTTTGATGTGTCGATATATACATATATATATATATATATATATATATATATATATATATATATATATATATATATATATATATATATATATATATATATATATATATATATATACATACATACATGTATATATATATATTTATTTATACATATATATATATTTTATATATAATATAAATATATGTGAGTGTGAGTGCGTGTGTGTGAATTTGATGAGATTTAATAAAAAAATAACTACATAATGTTTACTACTATAAGCTTCATGCATTAGCAAATTTCAGATAAAATATATATATTATGCATGTACCAATGACAAAGGCCAATTGAGGCTAATTTGCATATATATAAGGTGTGAGGCAATTGATAAAGGCAATTTGCATATATTAAGTGTGCCTATGTACCCATTTAGTTTAGCTTATTAGCCAATGCTGATGCATCGGCCAAAACTGATTAATTAACCAATATCATCGGCCGATGGTTAAGCTTACTAATTGGTTGCTAGTTACCAATAGCTTAGGCTAGTAGGTCCAATCACTGCTGATATATAGGTAGATGTTATAAGCTTCATGCATTAGCAAATTTCAGATAAAATATATATATTATGCATGTACCAATGACAAAGGCCAATTGAGGCTAATTTGCATATATATAAGGTGTGAGGCAATTGATAAAGGCAATTTGCATATATTAAGTGTGCCTATGTACCCATTTAGTTTAGCTTATTAGCCAATGCTGATGCATCGGCCAAAACTGATTAATTAACCAATATCATCGGCCGATGGTTAAGCTTACTAATTGGTTGCTAGTTACCAATAGCTTAGGCTAGTAGGTCCAATCACTGCTGATATATAGGTAGATGTTATATACACCCATCAGAGTTAGAGTCGGCATTTGGCAATGCTGGCCCAATTGTTGACCTAGAAGTGTTTAAGGTCAGCAAAAAATTGCTGATCTTGTTTCTATGGTTTATAAATAATATTATTCAAATTTTTTTTGCTGACCTTGTTTTTCCTAATTCCGAGGGCTGTATATATGTCTTTTTCCATTCTTAGTATTATTATAATATCTTTATATAAATACATTAAATCCTATTATTGGCCACCTACTTATTATTTACCTAATTTAGTTAAAAATTGATTAGTTAAAGATAACATGTGTATCTGAAGCTTTTTAATTAAAGAATATTTACCAAATTTGCAACCAAAATTTATTTTACTGTAGACATTTTAAGTATATATATATATATATATATATATATATATATATATATATATATATATATATATATATATATATATATATATATATATATACATATATATATATATATATATATATATATATATATATATATATATATATATATATATATATATATATATATATATATATATATATACTCATCTTGGGCAGATGTTAAATGCATCCAGCTGCTGTCTTGTAGAAGGCCTCCTAGGCAAAGACTTAAGGGGTAAACAGATTCTATCTGTTGACCAGCCTCGCACTCTTCTCCATCTATTAAGCTGGCGCAGATGTATTTTTAATACATTGTTTCCAGTTTAGGATGTTGAACGCAACTCATTCTATTATCTCCAAATGAGGGTACAGCTCTAAAACTCAGTTTTATGGCTCTGAGGCCAGCTGGTAGTCAGGTTTCCCGAACTCTGTGGTAGCTCTCAGAGATGCTGATTCCATCAACAGCTGAAAAATATCAGAGTACTAACAGTGCCATGTTGCGCATGGATGGTGTCCCTGTTTGTACTTTTGGTGTGTATTGCCAAGGCCACATTGGAGCCCTTTGTTATGGCTTAGGGTTTATTAGTGGAAATAAGGCAATTGCTTGGGCTATAAAACAGTGTACTGAGTACTATCTATGTTTCGAGTCAAGTTCTTTAACAAATTTAAAAATGAATAAAGTAACAAAAACTATAAAACACAAAAAAAAACAGTCATCACCATGTTTGCTAAACCTATCATTCAACAATATTCGTGGTCTTCTAAGTAACTTTTCTTCTGTTGAGTCTAATCTCTTGCAAAGTTCACCAGACCTACTTGCTCTTTGTGAGACTAATTTGAGTTCAGTTGTCTCATCTTGTGATCTTAGTGTCGATGGTTATCTTCCTTTAATTCATAAAGACTCCAATAGTCACATGCTTGGTCTAGGCATTTACATTCGTAAGAATTCACCCATTTGTCAGGAAACTAGGTTTGAATCCACAGACTACTCTTTTATGTGCTTTCATTTAGCACCACTTCACTCTATCACCTTTCTCTTTTTTCTATATCGCTCTCCTTGATCTCAAGACTGTACTCTTCTTGATGTTATTTCTGATTATATTGACCAAGCCCTCATTCTTTATCCATCAGCCAATATTGTTGTTGTCAGTGACTTTAATGTTCATCGCACTGAATGGCTTGGCTTTAGTGTCAGTGACTCTGCAGGCATTAAGGCCCACAACTTTTGTCTTTCTCAATCCCTAACTCAAATAGTCAACTTTCCAACTCGCTTTCCAGACAACCCGAATCATTTACCTTCTCTACTCAACTTATGTCTTGTTTCTGATCCTAATCAGTGCTCAGTTTCTTCACACTCACCCTTAGGTGCTTCTGATCATGGTTTGGTCTCTCTAAAACTATTATCTCATTCTTCTTTATCATCGTACATCTTACAACTACCTTAAAGCTGACTGGGACTCTTTCCGTGATTTTTTTCGTGATGGCCCCTGGGTAGAAATCTTTCATCTGCCTGTTGACAAATGTGCTTTTTACATAACTTCGTTGATTCAGGCTGGCACGGAATCCTTTATTTCCTCTCGACGATTCCAGGTCAAGCCTCATTCTTCTCCATGGTTTTCCTCACATTGTGCTGCTGCAATTGCTAATTGAAACCATTACTTCCATATCTATCAGCAAAACAATTCTCCAGAAAACAGGCATCTGTTTATTACTGCTAGGAACCATTGTAAAAAGGTTTTGTCTAACGCCAAAGCCTGCTATTCTCAGATCATGAAATCTCGTATTTCATCACAAAAATTAGGCTCTCATGACTTCTAGAGAATCTTTAATAGTATCAATAATAAGGGTAAGTCTGTAATTCCACCTCTTTTGTACGGTTCAGACTTTGTCACCTCACCTAAAGACAAAGCTGAATTGTTTGCCAAGAACTTTTCATCAATATCATCTCTGAATTCCACTAGTTGCGTTCTACCTGATATAGCCGTCAAACAGGTTGATCCACTGCTCGACATCTGTATCACTCCAGCTTCTGTATCTAAAGTGATTTCCTGCTTAGACTCTTCTACAGCTTGCGGCCCGGACAACATACCTGTTATAGTCTTGCAGAAGTGTTCTCCGGAGCTGTCGTCTATCCTTTCAAAACTATTTAACAAGTGCTTATCAGAGTCTTGTTTTCCAGCCTGCTGGAAAGCAGCATCTGTTATCCCTATTTTTAAAAATTCTGGAGAGCGATCTGGTTCGTCTAACTACCCTCCCATTAGTCTTCTTCCTATCATAAGCAATGTTTTTGAATCTTTAATTAACAAACACTTATCTCTCATCTCGAATCTCATAACCTACTTTCTGATCATCAATATGGATTTTGATCTTCTCGTTCTACGGCTGATTTGCTAACAGTAATAACCAATAGGTTTTATCGCGCATTAGATAAAGGTGGAGAGGTTAAGGCCATCGCTCTTGACATTTCTTAAGGCGTTTGATAAAGTTTGGCATGCTGGTCTTCTCCATAAGCTTTCTTTTTACGGTGTATCTGGAAACATCTTTAAGATTATCAAATCCTTCCTTTCCAATCATAGTATAAAAGTTGTCCTTGATGTACAGCCCTCTTCTTCTTATTCTGTAACCTCAGGGATTCCTCAAGGTTCAATTCTTGGCCCTATACTCTTTTTAATTTACATTAACGATCTTCCAGATTTTCTCACATCTAAGGTGGCATTGTTCGCTGATGATACTACCATTTATTCTTGTCACGATAAGAAGCCAACTCCCTCTGATTGCTTGCAGGGGGCATCTGAGCTTGAAAAGGATCTAACTTCTGCTACAGCATGGGGGTCACAGTGGCTGGTGAACTTTAATTCAGATAAAACTCAATTTTTTTCAGCCAATCGTTATCGCAATAATTTAGACCTTCCTATATTTATGAACCGTAATGTATGTGATGAGTCTCCTACCCTTCATCTTCTAGGATTAACTCTTACTTCTGATCTTTCTTGGAAACCTTATATCAAATCCATTGCAAAATTAGCATCTGCTAAAGTCGCTTCTCTTTATCGAGCTCGTCACTTTCTTACTCTGGATTCTATTTTCATATCTGGGGTGGATCTTCTAATGATGCCTTTTCTCTTTTAGACAAGGTGCAAAAACGCATTGTAAACATAGTTGGACCTACTCTTGCAGCCAACCTTCAACCTCTGTCACATTGTCGTAATGTTGCTTCTCTTTCTCTTTTCTACAAATACTATAATGGGCATTGCTCTAAAGAGCTAGCGTCTCTTGTGCCATTTACAAAAATTCATTTTCGTGTTACTCGTCATTCAATTAAGTCTCATCCTTTTTCTGTTACTGTTCCTAAGTACTCCAAAAACTCTTATTCGTCTAGTTTTTTTCCTCAAACATCAGTTCTTTGGAATTCGCTTCCTTCATCTTGCTTTCCTGATTCATATAATTTGCTATCTTTTAAGTCGTCTGTCAATCGTTATCTTGATCTACAATCTTCATCTTTTCTCTTCCAGTAATTTCCAACACTAATTAGTGGTTGCTTGCAGCCTTGTTGGAAGCCAAGATGTTTAAAAAAAAAAAAAGGTATATACAGCTAATAAAAGCCAGAGAGTATCATAGCAATATTATCTAATGAATTGTTGCAGAAAATAGGTGCCAATGATACATGTTATTTGATATATGTAATCTGATAAGTATGGAAACAATATCTTTTTTGGAAAGTTATTATTTGTGATTAAAAAAAAAAAGCATATCAGAGCCATTGTTTATTGTTTTTCTATATGGGTTATATGGTATAATTGTTAAGGAAAATTGTTATTAAGGTGCTTATACGATTGCAGGAGCAAGTTGCTTTCAAAATAGCGGTGCTTGTGTTATGAAGTAAATTTTAAATTTTAATATAATTATTTGCATTTAATGTTGTAAAGTTCAGTATCTATAACTTTTTTTTTATCAAAAAATAACTTATTTTTATTATCAAACAAATGAAATAAGTTTAGAACACATTACTATTTATTTTGATAACATAAATATGTTAATAAATATTTATATCAAAAAAATTTTTAGAATTGGAGTTTGAACAAGTTTACTTAAAAAACCTTCCGTCTTGTGACAATTATGAAAAAAGTTACATGCATCGAGATGTAGTGACTCATGTAGAAGTAACAACGTTAGTTTTCAAACTTATTTTTAATTGAAATATTTTCTAACAGTTAATATCATTGCATCATCATCATTTACACCCACAATTGGTATATCAATGTCCATATTTGCACCCATAGTTAGTTTATCAACATCCATGGTTATATCCATAGTTTGTATATCAGCATCCATGGTTACATCCACAGTTGGTATATTAACATCCATGGTTAAACTTTTGCATCAACGTCTAATCAAACAAGCAAGATCTCATCTTTTTCATTTTCTTTTTTACTTATTTGAAGCAAAAACCTAAGTTGTAGACTATATAATTTTATTTTTAAATTTTCAAAAGTTCTACTTGCTATAATAATCTCTGGCTATTTTTTTTAGAAACAATTTTATAATAACTGCAAGTATGGATGGTCATGTTAAGTTCTGGAAAAAAAAAGAAGGGGATATTGAGTTTGTTAAACACTTTCGTGCACATTTAGGTAAAAATGTTGACAATTAAAAAATAACTTACAATTGCTAAATTTTTGTAAAAATTATCCTAAATATTGTGAAAATATTTTTAGGTGCTATTGAAGATGTATCATCAAGTGTAGATGGGACTTTGTATGCAACAGTTGGAATGGATAAAGCTCTTAAAATATTTGATGTTATTAATTTTGGTATATTAACTTTTTATTTAGTTTTTTTTTTTTTTATTATAATGGAATGTTTATTAATGGTTTATAATTGTTTGATGGCTTATTTTTGTTTCTTTTTTTTCTTTCTTATTTTTGTTTCCATACTCTTGTTCTCTTGTTAATTTTAGACATGATAAACATGATAAAACTTAACTATCATCCATCATTGTGTGAATGGTTGTTTAAAAAGGGTGATCCAATATCAGCTATTGCTATGTAAGTTTTTTTTATTCACACTGTTTTAAAATTTATTTTGGAAAAATTTTATCCAAGTTATTTATTTCAAATGAGAAAAACAGTTTTAACAACCAAAGATGGTGTTAATAAAGATAGCAAAAATGATGTGATACTTTTAATATTCTATAAAAGATCTTTATAAGATCCAAGATTTCTTTTTTTTAACAAATTTATTTTTCATAGTAACATGATAATTACATTGTTTCAAAAAAGTTGAGCACTTTTAGCTTATTTAAAATGAATATTTTAACTCTACATTACTATATTGTTGGAATATTTAACCAATTGCAATACATATTAAGCAATATATTAACAACATAGTTAAAATAAATAAGCAATATACAAGCAATAAACAAACAAAATACAACAATAAATAATCAATTTTGTTTTGGTTTTAGTTCGGAAAAAGAAGGCAATGTTATTTATATTTATGATGGAAGAGGAGAATCAAAACTTTTAACAACACAAACTATTCATTTCAAGCCCATTACTGCTATGAAAGTAATTATAAATTAGTAAAATATATTAACATATCTGAAAATTATATACATACATATATATATATATATATATATATATATATATATATATATATATATATATATATATATATATATATATATATATATATATATATGTATATGTATATACACACACACACATATATATATATATATGTATATGTATATACACACACACATATATATATATATATATATATATATATATATATATGTATATACACACACACATATATATATATATATATACATATATATATATATATATATATATATATATATATATATATATATATATATATATATATATATATATATATATATATATATATATATATATATATATATATATATATGTACATTGTGTAGTTATATATAGTTATTGTAGCTATTTAGTTAATTTGCAAAAATATTTTTTTCAAGTACAATCCAGTTTATGATGTTATGATATCAGCTGATGAATCAGGAATGCTAGAATATTGGAGTGGACAGAAACAAGATTTTTTGTTTCCAAAAAATGTAAAATTTGAGTTTAAGACTGATACAGATTTATTTCATTTTGTAGCTGTAAGTTTTTTTCCATTTTTATAATTCTCATTGATTTTAAGTATTTTTTATTTTTTTATTTTATTTTGTTTTGCATTTAGTTACAAAGTATTTTTTTATTTTTTATTTTATGTAGAATAAGACTTATGTGACTTCAATTAGCTTTTCAAAAGATGGAAATCAATTTGTAACAAAATCAATGGATAAGAAAGTAATATTTTTGATTGAACTATTTATTTTTGTTTTTGTTTTTTTTTGTTTATTTATATGTTTCATCACATTAATTACTTTATTCTTTATACTATATTTGTTTTATTATTATTATATTATTTTTTATGTTTAGTATAATTTTTTTATATAAATAATAAAATATAGCAAAAACATTTGATCAAAAATATAATCTTTTTTGTACTAAAAAGTAGAAAATAAACTTTTTAATTTAAATTTAATAGTATGAAAGTCTGCACAAGATTTATATAGAAACCTGTCAATCTTTAGTTACTTTTTAAGTTACGATAAATTAATATTAAACAAAAACTTTTTTAAAAAAAAGTTTTTATTATTAAGTCATATTAAATCTATAATTTATAATTTATTTATAAAATTTATAAATCATATTATGTCATTTATAAGTCATATTAAATATGGAAAATTTATAAATTATATTTTGGTAAAAATATATCACAAAACAAAAAAAAAAGAGTCATATTAAATATTATTATTAAAGTCTTAATTAAACTTAATCAAAAAAAGGTTTGAATTAAGACTTGATACAATAATGTACTGCCCCTTTTAACATCATGTGCAATCCTGTCTGCTTTCTCTACGCTATCTTTCCAACTCGACTACTTCTATCTTTCATTCTAACATATCTTCGTTCTTACCAAAATCACTTTACTCTTGGTCTGTAGAGCGGGTTATGATGCTCCTTGGGGAGTCAAACTTTTCTTTGCGGGCCTTGGTGATGTGGCCTCTATATGGCAACTAGCCGGAGGAAGATAAACCACAATACCAACGAGTCATATTAAGTAAAAAAAAGGTTATAAAAATGCTAATATTAATGTTTTATTTTTAACAGGTATGTGTATTTCGGTTTCTTACTGGTAAAAAGACAAAAGTTCTTGTTGAAAGTTTAAAGACTTTAACTGCAACACAACAGGTAATTATTGATTATTTGTATATTTTTATTTAATTTTGTTATGCTATTTTTTAGTGTAAACCTAATAAGTGGTATTGCAATGTTCTTTTATTATGTTTGTTGCAAAGGTCTTTTCAAAATAAATAAATAATGTTTACCAATTTATCTTTTCAAAATAAATAAATGATGTAACCAAAACAAAATTCTTGAATATGTGAAGAAAAAGTGAAGATCAAAAGTTTAAATGAGAAGAGACATAATTTGTATGTTAATCTAATTGAAATTTTTCCCAGCTATTAATATTGAATACTTATTCATCATTTAATTGATTAGAATCGCTTATTCATTTATAACTTTTTTAATAACAATGCATTAAAAACATTTAACACTCTGCCAGACAGTGTTGTCTTTTTAGTTAATAAGCTCAAAGCAAAGTTTGACCAGCGTGTAAAATATTACCATCATGCATCATTTTATTGTGGCTGCTTCAATGTTACCATTTGTCCAATGCTGTCTTGCAAACTAGGTTTACTAGTGTTAAGCTTTTGGCTGATGTATTTATTCACATAGTTTTTTGTTGTTTTTTTTTGTTTGTTTTTTTTTGTTTTTTTTTCTACATTAATACTGATTTACTCCTAAAAAAGCTGCAAGCAACTATTAAGTTGAAAGTTGCAAGCAACTACTATTAAGTTGAAAGTTGCAAGCAACTACTATTAAGTTGAAAGTTACTAGAAAAAAAGAATAGAGTTATAGAGCAAGTAAAAACGGTTGACAGAAGGTTGTATGAATCAGAAAAACATTAAAATGGAATTCAAATGGGTTAAGGTGCTGGGAAAAAAACTAGACAAATAAAAAATTTTTAGAGCAAGCAGGACAGATAAAGTAAAAGAATGAAAAGTCAAGCAAGAATAAGTTTTGGTTAATTGAACTAAAGATGATACCTCCTTTTTGTAGAAAAGAGAAAGAGATGCAAATTTATAATGATGAAAAAGAGGCTCAAGCTTATTTATTAATATAGGAATGTCGACAGTACTGCGATAGTTGTTTGTAGAAAACAACTAAGTTTTATTTAAGGTTAAAATTTACAAGCCTCTGTGAATGCCAATCTGTTACGAAAGTGAGATCAGATTCAAGATCAGCTGCCTGTTCTAAGCAATCGAAAAGAGAAGACTTTTGAATCATCAGCAAAAAGAGCTACTTTAGATGTAAGGTTGTCCGGAAAATCTTAAATGTAGATAAGAAACAAAAAAGGACAAAGGATAGAAGCTTGAGGTACCCCAGAAATAACTGGAAATAAAGAAGATTGTTGGCCTTCGAGGATGACTTTAATAAAGCGGTTAGAAAAAAATAATTTGATAATCTTAAAAACTTTCCCAGATAAACCATATGAAACAAGCTTATGGAGAAAACCAGCATGCCAAACTTTGTCAAAAGCCTTAGATGCCAAGAGCAGTAGAGCACCATAAAATCTAGGTCAGCCATAGTGCAAAAAGATTGAAAACCATATTGATTGTTTGACAGTAACTTATTTGACTAGGATAGGAAAAATATGTTTATTAAAGACCCAAAGACCTTGTTAGTAATAGAAAGAAGACTGATTGGACGATAATTGGAGAGATCAGAATGTTCATGGGAGTTTTTGAAACTTGGAACAACAGATGCCATTTTCCATCAGGCAGGAAAACAAGACTCAGTCAAGCACTTATTAAATAGTTTAGACAGAATTGAAGAGAGTTCAAAAGAGAATTTTGTAAGACTATGTTAGGATTGTTGTCTGGACCACAAGCCATTGAAGAATTTAATCAAGATATGACTTTAGCAACAGAAGCTGGAGTGATTTGAATGCCTAATAATCAGTTAACCTGTTTAACTGGAATGGAAGGAAGAGAAAGGCCAAAAAGTTCAAAAATCAAGTTAAAAGTAAAGTTCTATGCAAATAGTTCTGTCTTATCCTTGGGAGAGGTAATAAGATCAGTGAATAAGAGATGGAATGTTAGACCTACCTTTGTTAACAACGCTGTTGAAGATTTTCCAAAAGTATGTAGAGCCTAGCTTTTGAGATAAGGTTTAAGGTTTAATGTGTAAGGTTTAGTGAACTGAAAATAGTAGAGATTAGCATCTGATAGCACCTTTTTACATCGATTTCTCAAGATTTCTTTTGAAAAAATCATTAAAAAAATGATTACAAATAAATATAGCAGCTGCGCAAAAGAGTGAAAACCATGGAGTAGAATGAGGCTTGAAGCCGACAAGAAGGAATAAAAGCGTGAATTCCTGCATGAATCCCGGAGGTAATGTAGGAGGCTTAGATTTTTCAGCGGTAAGGGAAAGGACATTAGCCCAAAGACCATCACCAAAAAAATCACAAATTTAATAAACTTTTAAGTAACATATTTGCTTATTGCTTTCTTGTGTTGTTGTATATTTTATTTTTAGAAATTGTTATTCAAAGTTTATACGGTCAGGGAAAGTCAGTGGCAAAAGTGTCTTTTTCAAATGGCTCAGTGAATGTCAGGAAATTCACTTAGTAGTCACTGGAAAAAGTTGCTTTTTTTTTTGAGTCAGGGAATAATAAAATATTTTGTTTATACCTAGAATTCTAATAAATTATAAATGTTTCTTGGATGTCAAATGTTGGCAATCTTTAAATTTAGTAATTTTAAATATAAATTATTTAATTGACTGTTTAGTATTTTTATTTTTGAAGTTTTCTTTTTTTATAAAATTTAAATATCCACTAATTTTCATATTTAATTTAATAAAAAATTAAAATTTGATAAAAATTTAAAATTTGATAAAAACTTAAAATTTGATACAAATTTAAAACTTAATAAAAGTTTAATTTAATAAAAAATAAATTTTAAACAACTGTGTACCTTTTTTCAATAAGTATTTAAATAATGGTAAACTTTATCCCTATATAGTTTTTATAGTATATAGTTAGTTTTTATTAGTTATTTTTCATTAGTTTTTATCTCTAAGTTTTTAATATTTTTAATAAGTACTTCTTATTTAAAATTTTTAAAGTTTTCAAAAGACAAGTTGAAATACATTGTTAACTATGGAACTGCACCTTAATTGAGAGAATTTTTAAAAGTCAAGTCTGCAACAAACTAAAGAGAATAGATAATTGTTTATCTGGTTTGGGTTTATCTAAACAAGTACAACTACAACTGTTCTCAGGGAAATCTAATTGGAAAGAGAATATGCTAGTTTGAGTAAATTTATAAGCATCAATATTAAAAAGATATATGTCCAAGTATAATAATAAAGATAACTTTATGTAACAAATTTTCCGTTTTGTTCTGTTCCTGGGTTGAAAGTGTGTTTTCCTATCCCGTAAGGTCTAAAACAGAAAGGAAATTGTTGTTATTCCATAAAAATTTTACTTCTGTGACTTGGCAATAAAATTTGAAAAATCGTTTGCTTTCTCCTATAATATTCCTAAACTGCTAGAGTTGTCTACAATTCTCCAAAATATTCTAGAATGTTCAAGAAACTTCCAGAACTTTCGAGAACATTTTTGAATGTTCTAAAATTAGCTAACTAATATAATAGTACAGGTGTCTCAAACAAGTCAAGATATCAATTTGTGTTATTGCAGACTGAAACAAGTCAAGATATCAATTTGTGTTATTGCAGACTGAAACAAGTCAAGATATCAATTTGTGTTATTGCAGACTGAAACAAGTCAAGATATCAATTTGTGTTATTGCAGACTGAAACAAGTCAAGATATCAATTTATGTTATTGCAGACTGAAAGGCTAACAATTTGTAGTTGAAGAAAAGTTATTTATTTGATATGGCATTCATTCATTATCTATTCCTTGTGCAATTTTTGTTTTGATCATAATGGCAAAAATGAGAAAATGTTGTTCTACTTTTACAAAAAATAAGTTTTCTTCATGCAGTTGTTGTCTAAGCAAAGTTTGTGCTTAATAAAGCCATTTTTTCACATACTTTAGACATTGAAGTAATTGAAATATAACACCTGGGAGCCAGGAACAAAAATTGTTTACATAGTGTAATTAATTTCTGGTAGAACGAGGTAGAATCATATTTTAAAAGTCTGTCATCAAAGATTATATAAATCCCTAATGTAGTTGGTTGTTAAAACTGACTAAAACTGGTATTCTCCTCAAATTTTGTTGTTAACTTATTAGAGCTTAAAATCAGTGATGTACTAGAAAAAAAAATTCATTAGATTTTTGTATTAATTTACATATTGATTTTTTAGTATCATAAAAGAGACAGAAAAAAAAAAGATTTTACATTAGTTATCAAAGGAAAAAATTTGAAAAGGAAGAAAAAAAATGTCTTGAAAATTCAAAATATTGAAAACGCAGTTCAAGTTTTAAAAGAGGAAAAAAAGAAAATAATATGAAACTAATGTAAAACTCTCTCTTTTTTTTAAAAGATATTACTTTATTGAAGTTTTTTTTTTCTTTCTAAAATAATTGATTTTCAAGATAAAGTTATAGAAGTTTTCTCACTTTTTTATTTGATCTTTACAATATAGAAAAAAGATATTTTATATTAAGTACTTTGGTATGTGAAACTTAGTGATAAAAAAAAGACTTAATTAGTTGTTGTAAAAGTGTAAATAAAAGCCTTGAATTAAAAAGCATATTTTATCAGTCATAAATGCTTTTTTATTATATATGTGAGTATATATGTTTTTAGTATATATGTTTTTATTATATATGTGTCAATGTCAATCTTAGTTTTTTTCTGGAAACTATAATTATTTATCTATATTATTTATTAACTATATGTTAATGAGGGATAAAGGGTAGTTTTTTTTGGAAAAAGTCACAGAAAAAATGTCAGGAAAATTACTTTTATTTTTGAGCTGAGCAACATATAAGAACAAACTGAAGCAAATAAAGATTTGGAAGTATCTCAATAAGAAAAATATTCTTTTCTTTTACAAGTTTTTTATTTTATGTACAATTTTTAGCAAAAATTATATACAATAAAATAAAAATTTATAAAAATTTTAACTTAATAACCTTAGTTAAATTGGCATTTTATCTTCCATATCCTGTATAAACCCTGTTATTGAATATTATTGTTTTGGAAACTGTTATTGTATATTGTATTTTTAGAAATATTTTTGTATATTTTATTTTTGGAAATTGTTTTTGTATATATATTTTTTTGAACATTAAAATTTTTAAATTTCAATTGCATTTTACCATGTAGAAAGTGAAGCATTTCATGTAGAAAGTGAAGCATTTCATGTAGAAAGTGAAGCATTTCATGTAGAAAGTGAAGCATTTCATGTAGAAAGTAAAGCATTTCATGTAGAAAGTGAAGCATTTCATGTAGAAAGTGAAGCATTTCATGTAGAAAGTGAAGCATTTCATGTAGAAAGTGAAGCATTTCATGTAGAAAGTGAAGCATTTCATGTAGAAAGTGAAGCATTTCATGTAGAAAGTGAAGCAAATGATGTGTTAAAGTAAAAAGTTTGAAAAGTTTTTAATCTGATTAGTAGTCAAAAAAAAATGTTTGTTAGATATTTGAATATAGCAGAGATGATCAATTTTTTTTTCCAATCGTTGCAGTTTTTTATAAAGCATTCTTATTTGACTTAACTGCCTTCCAGTATAAATGTAAGTAATATTAACAATTTTTTAGGAACAAACAAGGTTTGGTCTGGTAAAATGTGGTGACATGCCATGTTCTCTGATGAAGTATAAGTTAACCAATTTGCAGCAGACAAAAATAAAAACAGAAATTTTTAAACATAACCTAACCTCAATAGTAGATCTTAGAAAAGCCAAAATGAAAATGTGGTATCATAAATTAATATCTGAACATTTTGAGTTTCTTATTGCCTAAATGCCCTAAAGAATGAAGGCCGTTCATAAAAAAATGTTTGAAGAGTCCTTACAAAGAACTAAAGAATAGAGGGTGGTCATAAAAAAAAGTTTGAAGAGCCCTTACAATGAACTAAAACATGTTTTATAATTCTTTATTTTTTTATATATATATTTTTTTTAGCTAAAATGTTTTAAACTAATAAATGTATAGAACATAGGGGAGATCGGGGCTTATATTTAGATTTTCAGTTGTCTCTGTTATTACTCTTTGAACTCTGTAACGGCAAAAAATTTGTAAATATTAAAAAAAAGTTATAAAGTATGAATTTAGGTCAAATTTTTAATTTGCATTCATTATTTAAAAAATTTTCACAGAGCCCTTATGGGGCCTCAAAAAATAAATGTGCCAACTTACCCCAGTGTGTGGAGTATGTTGGTGCAAACTATAAAAATGAATATTAATTTACTATTAGGTGCAAAATTTATAGAATTTTTTTAACTATTTATTATGGTAACAAGTATTAGCCAAAAAATTTGATATTACTTTTATTAAATTTAAACTTTTAGTTGGTATCAAATATTAATATATTAATATATTACAGGTTAAAACAGCGGCCAATTTTTATCTGTTAAAAAAACTTTTTTAAATATAAAAATTTTTTAAATATAAAAACTTTTTAAATTTAAAACTTTTTTAAATTTTTATAAAAAAATTTTAAAAAATTTTTTCATAAAATTTTTTTTTTTAATTTTGTTATGAAAAATAAATTTTTTCAATATTGTTAAAAATTTTTTAAAAAACAAATTTTTTGGCACTTTCTGATGAAATGCTCTGAAGAAAAATGCAATTCGTCAACTTACCTATACTGCCAACTAGCACTACAACTATGGCAACTTTTTTTGTCCCCTTTCAGCAAATATCTTCAAAATAACTTTTTGGGAAATATAAAAATCAAAACAATTTGATTAAAAATTTTCCATATAAAACATAAACAACTGTAGCCTAATATTTTCTTTATTTTTTGTTGCATTTAGATCAGAATAGAATAGATTGTTATCAGACATAAATAGATCATGATAAAATATTTTTTTAAAAAGAATTATTTTATAGCTTTAGCGAGTTTCTTAATAAAAGACTGCAAGTTTTGAGACATCTAAATAATAAGGAAATCATTGTATTTCTACCCTTTTTTGAATGTTTACTTTAGAGTCTACAGTGTGATGATGAAGTATAACTTTTCAATTAGTATAATGGTTTTAATTTAATGTTTATACTAAAGCATTGAATAAAGAAAAAATGTCGTAATTGAAATGATTGTTTATTAACTCAGATCAGCCAATTTTTGACTTAATAGAAATTTAGTTAAACATTTGTTAAGCAGATCATTTGGAGGTTTGTGATCATTTAGAGGTTTCGAGATCATTTGGAGGTTTGTGATCATTTGGAGGTTTTGTGATCATTTAGAGGTTTGAGTATCACTTGGAGGTTTCATGATCATTTAGAGGTTTGAGTATCATTTGGAGGTTTCTGTGATCATTTGGAGGTTTGAGTTATCTGTGTGTATGAAAGAGAGTTATTATTTAATTTTTTTTTTATATCTACTAGGAAAAACAAGTTCTTCCAAATATGGAATTTGGTAGACGTGTAGCTATTGAAAGAGAACTTGAAAAAAGTGAAGCATTTAAACAAGTTAACCCAGGTACTGCACTCTGTGTGTACTAACCAGGTATTGTACTGTAAATTTAATTGTGTCATTTTTTTTTGGTTTTTTAAATTTCTTTGTCATTTATGAAGAAAATATTTATTTTTAGTGTTTGATGAAACTGGATATTTTATTCTTTACTCTACAATCCTTGGAATAAAAGGTGAAAAAATCAGAGTTATTACAATTTATTAGTGATAAATAAAAAGTGGTAGATTTTTGGAAAAATCAAAGTTCATAGAATTTATAAGTGATAATTAAATTCTTTGAATAACACAGATCTACAGAAAAAAACTTTTTGTTGCATGAGATATTTAAACTGTTTTTTATGTATTTTTAAAAGCTAAATCTAAATATAAACTCTGTTTTTGTTGGCAAACTTTAGTTTTTTTGCATTAACCAGTTTATTAATTTTTAAAAATTTTGTTTTTCACAGGTATTTTCATTCAATAGTTATGAAAAAAGTAACAGTGTTATTGTTCTTTTTTTTAAATCATCGATTCTTTAAATCAACATAAGTGCAAGCATAAACCTCATTTTGTATATGTGGTAGCATATAAAACTAGCATATAAATCGTATTTTGATATTAATTTTGGTGACCAAGAAAAAAAGTGGGCTCTACATACTGTGTGCCATATTTGTGAAGAAAGTCTTTAAGATTGGAAACAAGAAAAAATTTACCTTTTGAAGTCCCCGTGATTTGGCAAGAATCTCGTTCTTATGTTTACATTTGTAATTTTTATTTAAGAAGAAAAATGTTATTGAATATTTCATCCTTGTCCAATCGCAACAGTATAAAAGAGTGCCACCATTAGCAACTCTAAAAGAATTAGGAGCTTAGGGCATTGATATAACTGTCTTTTTAAGTAATTTTTTAGCTTGAGTTTTTGAGCAATGCGCATAAAACCATCTTTAAAAAGTGACATAGCAAAGTGATATAATATAAATTTTCTCATTTTTTTTGACTTATTGCATTGATTGACTTCTTTTATTGTATTTTTAATTTTATTATGTAGCTGCAGCTTTTTCTTCTGGTACAACAAGAAAATTGTTGTACTCACTTATACTTGACTTATTTCATTGATTGATTGTTTTTATTTCTATTTTTTTTTATTTCTGGCAAGATTGCAGTTTCAGTTTTATTTTTGTCAGATGATGAACAAACCATGTCTGCTACAGAAGAATTTTTATCAGATCTGGAAGACTTCTCATCTAATGCTAAACACTTTAATTTCCCTCTGTGTTTTCGTGAGATAGAACTGAATGACTTAGTTTGTGATTTAGGACTTGAGGTTTCGCTTCAATTAATTGGTAAAAAGTTTGGAAAAGTTTTTTACTTTAGAAAAAGAAACCGAACCTTTGTTAACTTTTTTTCAGAAGTCAATTTATTTATTTACTGTCACGATATTTCAGATCTCTTGTTACAGTTGGGTATTTCTGTATACAATCCAACAGAATTGAGACTTTTTACCAATAACTTGAAGTGAAGCCTTATATACGTTATTTTACACAATGATCATTTTTTTGATTCTGTACCAGTTGGTTATTCTGTTAGTTTACGAGAGACAATAAAGGCGAGTTTCCACTCATCCGTTTTTTTACGGGAACAGGATAGGAAAGAAAAAAATAATCACGTGAGCATGTGTAAGTGATTATTTTTTTCAAAACACCAAAACTGGATACAAAAAGAATGGCCTATTCACAACACTTTTTTCTGCTAATCCATCTTAAATTTCGATTCATGAAACATTTTGTTGATGTACTGAAAACTGAAGTGATTGCTTTTAGTATATATTTACAGCATTACCAGGTTTATCAGCAAAGAAAAAAATGCTTTTTTTCTCTGCTGATTTTTTTCATATAAAATCTTTTATATGATTAAGATATTATCAAAAAATAAATAGCCTTGAGAAAAAGACTTTGTTGTCGCTCGTGGTTGTTGTAAAAAAATTTCTTGAAAATAAAAAAAAAAGCAGCAAACTATGCTTTAGTTGATAAAATGTTTTTGTGATCTTGAATAAGTATAAATATCTTGATCATTTTCTTGAAAATCTTGAAGATGTGAAGAGCAAGGAGATGTCACTAAGATCTCAAGATAATTGTAGAAATTTTCACTTTTTTTTCACTTTAATTTTAATTAATTAGTATTTTTATTTACCAAGAATGTTGGGAGACTACTGTTGGGGTAGTAAGCGAGAAGTTTAAGGAAATATTCAAAAGAGCAATAAGCAAATCTTTCTTTATGATTGAGTAGTTTAAACAATATTATCTGCAATCTTTTTTAAAACTGAAAACGTTAAAAAAAAAACATTAAAAAACATTTTAAAAAAACATTAAAAAACATTAAAAAAAAAACATTAAAAAACATTATAAAAGTTGATGACTTTGATAGCATTTCACATTTTAATCTGCTTTCTATTTTTGTTTTAATTTTGTAAAAAAATTAAGTTTTTGAAAAAGAATTACAAAATGAGTTTCAAATCTGTTTTTTTCAAATTATTTTTAGTAATTTGCAAAAAAAAAAATATTTATTACAAAAAAATTTGTAGCTCGCCATGTTGCTATGTAATTATGTAAGAGCAAGTGTCAAGTTTATTGCATCAAATTTTTGGTTGAACTTTGTAATTAATGTATAAGTTATTTGAATTAGTTATATATATTTTTTTTAATTTTATATTTATTTTTAATAATAAAGTTTGTTTCTTATAGTCGTTAATTTAGTTACTAACACATGTGTCAAGTTTATCGGCATGGTAACTATTTCTTCTTATGCTATTTATGTTAACTAAATAATTTTTTAAAAATTTTGTTTTTTAATTTTAAAAATCAGGCATCATTTTTTTTTATTATTTTTTTTTTTATAGAAAGACAATGTTAGATTTCTAAATATCGGTTTATACCAAGGAAATCCAAACAAAATTAGTTCTTCTTTTACTTTGGTACTTTTTTTTTTTATTGATGGTTTTCTTTTTTGTTCTATTTTTATTCAATTTTATGATTTTTATTCAATTTATTAAAGAAATATCTAAGTAATTTTGATCTTGTTTTTAAAATGATTTAGTATAAAATTTTATTTAAAACTGTTATTAAAAAATATTTGATTTATTCAATTTTTAGTCCTATGAATACAAAAATATTGCAGAGAATATTACAAAAGTTAAATTACTAAAGTTTTATTACTGTAACTACTTATGTTAAAGTGCAATTAAATTTTATGTGTTTAATAATTAATATATCATTAATAATGATATATTAATTGATATATTAATAATGACAATTAAGATATCATGTAGTTTTTATTAATAAAGTTTTTGTTAAAATATTTTATTCAAATTATTTATAATAATATATACTATAACTATAATAGTTACTTTTAGTAATTGTTTTTAAGTGTTATAACTTCTTCAAAATTGTTTTTTTTTTTAATATAGGAAATGACAGCTTCTGATAACCCATCATTAGATAAGATTTCTGCTGATCCATGTCTAATATGCACAGGTTTTAAAAAGAATCGATTCTATATTTTAAGTAGGAGAGATCCTGATCAAGATCAAAGGTTAATAATTTTTGATAATTAATTTTTTGAGATTACATGTTGTATATGTAAGTCTGTAGAAAATAAAAATGTTTTGAATTTCTTACCATTCTTCATTTCTTATCATTCATTCATTCAATATCAAAATAATCATACTTGCAATATATCAACCAAAATTTGCAATTTTTTCAATTTTTTCTTTATCTTTGATGTTTCATCAACATGAATATCAATGACAGTTTGTAAGAATTTTTGGTTTCATGACAAGGGACAACACTAGTTTTGAAGTGGAGGGATACGATCCTCAATTTCTAAAAAAAAGTTCTCTATATCTGAAAATTTATCAAAAAAATATAAAAAAAGGGGAGAGGGGCTTCCCTGTCTGGCCCCTTTGATGTTGTCGGCCCTGATGGCTATACGAAGTATGAGTAAAATAATCTATTTTTTTAGTCTAAAATCGATAACATTTTGACTAATGATTTAAAGTATCGTAAAAAAAAAGAAAAGTAAAACCTCTACTCATAAAAACCTCTGCTCATAAAACCTCTTCTCATATAAATTAGATAAATTTGGTATCTTTGGTTCATAAGCAGAATGCATGTTTTCTTGAAACATGTTTCATCGCTTATTGGCCAAAATAGTTTTTTCTGTAAATCATCCAACAACATACAAAGTACTTTAAAACATTGAAGATTATTATTTGGTACTTTAGGATAACTATAAAGTAATTAGTTAATTATAAATAAAATAAAACGATAATATATTATGACCTTCTGCATGATAGCAGAAAATTTTTTGAAATTGTAATAAAAACTGAAAACTTGTCTTGAAATTTTTTTAATGTTAAATTTTAAAAGGCTACCTCAAATTTGCTTCAAATTGATTGAAACTTTTTTATAATTACTTTTGAATTATTTCAATTAGTATTAGATGGGGAGAGTTATTAATATATATTTATATATATACATATATTTATATATATATATACACCCACATATATGTATATATATATAAAAAAATATATAGCATATATATAAAAAAAAAATATATATATATATATATATATATATATATATATATATATATATATATATATATATATATATATATATATATATATATATATATATATATATATATATACATTTACATACATACATTTATACTATCTCGTACTGTTTTTTGAGGTCTCTTTGGCAAAAAACTTTGCTTAACTAGGACTTTTATTTTCAAATGACGAAAGTTGCTCAAAGTAAGTTATCAAGTAGAACTATAACAGAAAAATACAAAATACTAAAGGAACTCGATAAAGGAGAATCATCTGTAACTATATCAAAGAAATATGGCATTGTAAAGCAAATATTGTCTGGATGGTCAAAAGAAAAAAACACAATATATTGTTGAAAAAATAATAAAACTGCGAAAAGAGTGCGGATGTGTATCTCCCTAAAGAAGGATTTAGATAAAGCATGTAACACAAATTTGGAGAAAGCATGAAATGTTGGTAAAACGATGACAAAGCCAACGACTGAAGAAGTTTGTAAAGCAATTGATAATGGTGAAATTGGAAGAGTAGGTTTGAATGCTTCAAAGCTGTTTGAAAAAGAATCGTTACTGAAACAAACATCAATTTTGGATTTTTTTTTGTTTATAGCATATATTATATATTCAAAAATATATATTTCACATAAGATTATTTTGTTCTATATATATATATATATATATATATATATATATATATATATATATATATATATATATATATATATATATATATATATATATATATATATACATAATATTTATATATCAAAGAACATTCGGTAAGTCTCGAAATCTCAATAAGTCAGACATTTTCAAAAAGCCTGACTTAACGAGAGCTTTTCTTAATTTGGACATTCGCTAAGTTGGATAATAAATATATACCCCTTCGGTGTCCAAGTTAACGGGACTCTACTATATTTATACACACACATATACGCACACACATATATATACATATATATATATATATATATATATATATATATATATATATATATATATATATATATATATATATATATATATATATATATATATATATTTTATTTAGTGATCGAGATATTTTTAACGAAAAACCATCAAGGGATGAAATTGTTGCTGCAACTCAAGTAACTTTTTTATTACTTCTTTTACAAAATTTTTATTAAAGTCATTTAGTTGTTGAAAATTTTGGAGAAACATATTTATAATATTATAAGATTTGAACCTTAAATCTCTTAATTGCTAGCTCAAGGTTCTACCACTAACCTATTACTAATCTCCACTAATCTTCTACTAATCTACCATTAATCTACCATTAATCTACTACTGCATACCGATTGAAGCTGTTCTTTAAATTTTAAGTTGCTCAAAAATGTATTTGAAAAGTATTCAATTACCCAAAAATTTAGGTTTAGTCCTTGTAATTAAAAATGGGTATAAAAAAAGTTTCAGATCAAATGTAGTGGTCGGCTAAATATCTTTTAAAGATATTTGGCATAAAAAAATTATAACATTACAGAACACAACAGTTAGATAACTTTTTGCTAAAAAGTTTTTTGTTTTTTTTAATTTTAAATAAATGTTTCTCACTCGTTTGCATATTATATTACTTCCTTTTTGTTATTTGATTTACGTGTATATAATTATATATTTAATTATATTAGGAAACCACAGTCAAATGTCTAGCAGAAAATGTAGTTATGCATACAACAATGGGTGATATACATTTAAAGCTTTATCCTAAGGAGTAAGTTTGCTTAAAATTGATTTAGTAACCTGTCTCGCTTTGTATTTATCATATAATCTTCCATATATGCTTAATTCCGTAATAGTATGCTATATTTTCATTTTTGTTTGCTTTTAAAAACAAAAATATATGGGTTGTGTTAACAGCTTTCTGTTAAACAATATGTTCATGTGTAAAAAATTTTTATATTATATACGTTTTTGTGTGAATGAAAACCCTGTGTGGATCTTTTAAAATAACAAAAAATATGTTATATTTGTGTGAATGTAAACCATGTATGTATCTAAAGTAACTTATTTTTTTTAGATGTCCAAAAACTGTAGAAAATTTTGTAACTCATTGCCGAAACAATTACTATAACAACCATATTTTTCACAGAGTTATTAAGCAGTTCATGATTCAAACAGGAGACCCTATTGGTTAATTTTTTTTTTTTTTGTTATGTTCTGATTTTTGGTTCTTTTTATCAAATGCGGTGTTACAGATACAGTATTTATTTGTTTAGGTGATGGCACCGGTGGCAAATCGATTTGGGGAGGAGAATTTGAAGATGAATTTCATCATACCTTACGTCATGATCGTGCGTACACTCTTAGTATGGCTAACGCTGGTCCAAATACAAACGGCAGTCAGTTTTTTATTACTGTTATCCCAACGGTAATTTTTTAGTTGTTTATTTTGTGAGTGTTATGAATTGAAAATAATAATAAAGGATAAAAAAGTAACAATAAAAATAAATTATTCATATGTGTTAAAGCACTCTTAATGGTTTTATTTTCAGCCCTGGCTCGATAATAAACACACTATTTTTGGGCGCGTTGTTAAAGGAATGGATGTGTGTCAAGCAATCAGTCTTGTAAAAACATTTCCTAAAAATGATAAACCACGTGAAGATGTCAAGATTATTAATATGGTTGTGAAGTAAAAAAGATTTTCTTCTCACCACAATTCTTAGGATTCGATTACAGCAGGATTGCTATTGGTTGATTCTCATTAAATGGTTAGTAATCCCACTTCGTTTGGGTAAAAAATATCGAATGTCTGCCTAATGACTGTGAACAAATTAAGTACCTCTGCAACGATTGTTATTTGAGGAAAGCTTATCGCTTTCTCAATTAGATACCGGAGTATTTTTACATGCAATAGTACTACTTGTATTAAATATGATGTTTATATATAATGGTGTTTTTTAATATACCGCATTCATAGGCACAATTTTATATTGTGCAAATTGTTAAGAGCTTTTATTTTTGTTTCTTAGCTAAGGCTTTAGCTTAACAATAAATAGTCAATTTTAGCTTAGAAATAAAATGTCTCGTTGTTTCTTAGTAATGCCGATTGAATGATACCCGGTGTCTTCTTGCTGCCCTTGTACAAAATTTTTTTGGCCGCCTCTGCCAAATTTATAAATTTGCTAGTAAATTTCATGGAAAATAATAACAAATTCAATTCAAAAAATATTGCAACGAAATGTTTAATTACTAATTTACATTTTAAAATTGAATGTTTTATTTACATTTTTTTTTTAGTTTACAATTACAATTACAATTTTGATACTAATAAGAGGCGAAGCAATCATGTTCACTTTTAAATAAGAGGCGAAGCAATCATGTTCACTTTTAAATAAGAGGCGAAGCAATCATGTTCACTTTTAAATACTAATTAAAACTGCTTTTTGTTCTAACATTAAACACATGACAAAAGTTTTATTGTTTTGATTACTAACAGCAACTTTGATACAAAAAAAAGGCAAAAAAAAAAACAAAATACAAAAGAAAGCTTAGAAAACAAAATAAAAAAGAAGTTTCAGAAATTTTAAGAAAAAAATATATTAAGCAGTTTCACAGCAAAACATTAATTATAAAGATCTCAGTTGGACTGCTGTCTGAACTACTCATTATTAGCAAATATGTTTGGTCTTCTCTATTACAAAAATATTAGTTGCCGGTGTATTATGGGATTTTTACTTCCAAGTTTTTTTTACTCCCTAGTAAAAATCTTATCTTAAATATTTATCGCCGAGTTAAAAAAGCGTATGAAATTTTACATCTACTTTATTTTTACTCTCAAGTTATTATTTGTGGAATTACATATAAACAAATTATGCATGCTAGATCCAATTTCAGAAGACAAACAAAACCATTTTTAATTCATAGTAATAAAATATATCATGTAAACAAAACTGCAAAGATATATTTTTATTTCATTAATGTTTAACAATTTTTGTCATTTTTATACTGTTACAACATTTTTATACTGTTACAACGGGATAAACAAAAAGTTACTCAATATTAAATAGAAATAAATTAGTAAATCAACAAAATAAAAAAAACATAATATTCCAAAGTAAAAAAAATGTTAATAACTACGATGTTTATTTTTTAATTGGCAAGTAAAACCGGCTTAAAATCAATTACTCAAAGCAGAGGAAAACCGAATTACCAAAAAAGATCGGTTAAGGCACCGTATAAAATAGCTTTGTGGCTAAACTACAAAAGACCTGATTTTTCGGCATAGGCTGATAAATTTGTTGTTTTTTTAAAGTAATAAGTTTTATTGTATAGTCGTATGTCGTCAAGAAACAAAGCCCGTGGCAAGATTGCATTGTGGCTGTACTTATTTTTTAGTCTTTTCAATTTATATAACCCAACCGCCTTAATTATTTTCTCAGTAAGTAGGTAACTATGGTGATTTAGAATAATAGTATTGCAAATGCAAATAATGATGTTCTCACATTCAAAACATACTCCCTACCTTCTCTAAGCTTCTCGAACGAGTAATCTACAACAGATTGTACGAGTATTTAATCCAAAATAAAATCCTAAATAAAAAACAATCTGGCTTCCAAAAACAATATTCGACTGAACACGCAATCCTAGATCTAATTAATAGTATAAGTGATTCTTTTGATAAAAAACAATAAGTTCTGGGGATCTTTATAGACCTGTCAAAAGCCTTTGACACAGTAAATCATAATATCTTACTTAAAAAAATGGAAAGCTATGGAGTAAAAAACATCACTCTTGACTGGTTCAAAAACTACCTAAGCAATAGGCAACAATGTGTTATTTCAGACAATTATAAACACTCAAAACTACTAAGAATAGAGTGCGGTGTCCCCCAAGGTTCCATTCTTGGACCCCTTCTGTTTCTTCTATATATTAACGACCTTACAAAAACCTCGAAAAAACTTGATGTTATAATGTTTGCCGACGACACAAATTTATTTTATTCCTCGAACTCAATCAAAAACCTTTATGAATGTATGAACAAAGAGCTTGAAAAATTAAACATCTGGTTGAAATTAAATAAGTTATCACTAAATACAGAAAAAACAAAATATATATTGTTTCATTCCAAAAAACAAAAAAATAATATACCAACTATACTTCCCCCACTAAAAATAGATAAGGTAAACATTAAAAGAACAGAAACAACAAAATTTATTGGGATACTTATTGACGAAAATATAACTTGGAGAGCCCATATTAGTACAATAAACACCAAAATTTCAAAAAATATTGGGATACTTTACAAAGTTAAACCTATGTTGTCCCAAGATAATCTTAAATCTCTTTATTTTTCTTACATCCAAAGTTATCTTACGTACGCTAATATTGCATGGGCAAGTACACACAAATCCAAGTTAAATACTCTTTATTTAAGTCAAAAACATGCATCAAGATTAGTTTATAATAAATATAAACTCACCCATGCTGAACCTTTACTAAAAACCCTAAATGCACTGAATGTTTACCAAATCAACATCTATCAAAATATTCTTTTCATGCTTAAATACAATCTTGGACTAGTCCCATCGCATTTTTTAGATAAATTTTTTCAAATTAACTCTGATAGATATACCACAAGAGCAACAGGGAACTTCACATTACCAAAAAAAACAACAAAGTTCTCACGATTCTCTATTTCCTACCGGGGTCCGTACCTATATAACAAAATAATATCCGAAAATATAGAACTTAAAACATTAAATAATTCTGCCACCTTGAAAAAAAAATTAAAACACCTCATACTTAATATCAAAAATTTTATTGACATGTATTAAACTTAACAACAAGATTTATACTAAAATGTTTATGTGTATCACTGACTGTGTATTGTTTAACCACTTTTAACTATATATAAAAATTAATTAAATTTATTTAACCATTTGAAAAGGTACTTGATGATAAGACTTCATAGTCTTCTGCGAGTCTCCTTTACAACAACATGTTTATATTTGAAGAAACAATAGTTTTTATTTTAAAAAAAAAAACAGTGTTTATTAATCTAACGTTATATTTTATTATAATTGTTAAATTACGTATTCTTATGTTATGTTATATATTTTACTCTTTGCATTAAATTATATGATAGAATTGTAACGTAATGAAGTGTATATTGAAGTTGTAAAAAAAAAAAAAAAAAAAAAAAAAAACATAAACTGCTGCAAAAAATAATTGTTTACAAAACCAAATGATTTAAATATCTTACCAATTTTTTTTATTTATTAACTTTTGGCTAGAAGATGCCTTAATATGGATGTTTTATACCGATTGTTAATAAACTATTAAAAGGGTTTTTTAAAAAGGTTTTTTTTAGTTTGTCCTGAGGGTGAAATTCATTTAGGGTTTTTTAAAAAACCTTTTAATGAAAACTGGAAAAACTTTTTTTAATCCGTAATTCGCGGCCGTTGCGCAGTGGTTAGAGCGCTTGCTTTGAAAGCAAGAGATTCAGGTTCAAAACGAGATCTGGACATATTTTCGCGTCACGGTATGGCGTGATCTTCCTTTCTTGTCTTAGAGCACTTACGCGGTGCTCTGAGACAAGACCATTAGGTCTTCTTGGGGCACCTAAATAAAAAAAGCAAAAAAAATTTTGTTTTCAATTTAAATTATAAAATTTTCTATTATGTATTATATTATGCAGTAAAGATTTCGAACACGCAAAAAAAAGATTTACTAAGTTATATTATATAGGCCGATAGATTTACATTTTATACATAATATTGCATATATATTCAAATGTTTAAATTTTTTATTTTTTTGGTTAATTAAATAATTAGTACCACATCATTTAAAAAATGATGTGACACCAATTCGATTCAAAGTGTTGCATGGTTTATATTGCATATAAAGTTTCATATTCAAAAAAGAGCATTCTGCAGTAATGTTTAAAATTTTATAACATCAAAGTAATATAAACTAAGGTTTGAACAATAGAACGCAAAAAAAAAAAAAAGAAATTCCAATAATCAGTAAAAGGGCAAAATAAATGTTGTGCAAAAATAAAAAAAAGTTTTACATTATTAAACGGAACGAATTAAAAAACAATTTAATTTTGAGTCTTGTGAACTAAACAAAAATTTGATAAAGTTTTTTATAAACTTTTATAAAAATTTTAAAATCATAAAAAACTGTTTTTAAATCAATATAGTAGAAACCAAGTTTGAAAAAACTATAACAAAATTTAAGATATTAAAATATAAATACGAATTCAGTGACAAAAAACATTTGAACAATAAAAGTCATAAAAACATTAAGGAAAATGTTGTTATACTGACAACGTTTGGGAATTTTGCTTTACCACCAAGAAGTACTTTGCTACCAAGAAGTACTTTGCTACCAAGAAGTACTTTGCCACAAAAAAGTACTTAACCACCAAGAAGTACTTTACCACCAAGAAGTACTTTGCTACCAAGAAGTACTTTGCCACGAAAAAGTACTTTACCACCAAGAAATACTTTGCTACCAAGAAGTACTTTGCTACCAAGAAGTACTTTGCCACGAAGAAGTACTTTACCACCAAGAAGTACTTTACCACCAAGAAGTACTTTGCTACCAAGAAGTACTTTGCTACCAAGAAGTACTTTGCCACGAAGAAGTACTTTGCCACGAAGAAGTACTTTACCACAAAGAAGTACTTTGCTACAAAGAAGTACTTTGCTACCAAGAAGTATTTTACCACCAAGAAGTATTTTTTTTTAAATAACATGTTTTGTTGTATGCTTGGAGAGCTTCTTTATCAACTGATATATTTCCCTCATCGTCTTGTGGCAATATTACTGGACTAAGTGGTATTTCCTGCGTAAATAAAACAAACAAATATATTAATTAATTAAATCTCCCACAAACCATCATTTCATGTAAAATGCATATCTGTTTGTAATCCTATATG